AATATTGATGTTAGTGCTTCAAACAGAGGGCCTGGCTTCAACAGGTTTGTTGCAGAGGAATATCATTTAATAATTGTGGGGTTCCAGGTTATCATTATTGCAATATACCGGTTTTTTGGGTTTTGTCTGTGACACCAGATTAATTATCTATTATTATTGCTCGATCATTCACACAACTTTATTATGCACATATCATAAGCTATACATTGGAAATACACATGTAGAAATATGGTTTGCTCTACCATAGCACGGTACTACATTTAGCATACTTTCCCAAACAATCATCCCTTCAATAATCACTAACCGTGTTATAATCATGCTCATTTGTCGACATATTATAGCGAATAAAGAGTATCATTAGTTGTACGCACTTTATATTAAATGCTTACTTACAAGACTATATTACTTACCGCTTTCCCATTTCTTTCTCTTTTTCACTTTTCTCTCTTTTCATTTTTTTGTATTCATATATAATACCAACACAAACTACCAATTTGCCATGGGTCTGTTTATCAAGTGGTTATTGAGCTGTTAAAAACAGTCTTTGAGCCACGATTCATTTAATTACAAACAGCCAATGGCCACAGAGCTGCTACTACAGTCCGTGCGCCACAGCTTACTACAATGGTCACAGAGCTATATTTTAGTCCATGAGCCACAATTACTACAATGGTCACAGAGCTGTCACTGATATCTGTGAGCCATAATTTATTATTATTATTTTTTTTTTTTTTTTTTTTTTTCCCCTTTCCTTTACAGGGCTGGCTTGTTCAATTTGAGCTTTGGCTCCATGCAAATATTCTCGGGTGGTGGGGGTGGGACTATAAAGCTAGGCTATCAATAAGGCGAGCAATAGTGAAACCAAAGAGGAAGTACAAATACTAACAAACAATCTCTATTTAAATCTATATTTTCCCTTTTACGGGAATTTTCACACAAAACAATCTCTCAAAGAATTCCATTACATCATAGGACTTTACATGTTCTTCCCGATATATACTTGGTCATGTATTGTTATGTGATCTCGCAATAATGCTGGCCTTGTCACTTCATTGACAAGCTAGTCATTATTATTGCTCGATCATTCATACAACTTTATTATGCACATATCATAAGCTGTACATTGGAAATACACATGTGGGAACAAGAAGAGGATCAGAATGATAATTCCAAATTTCTTACTAACATCATTATTCTCATCATTCGTTCATTCTTTTCATTTTTTTTTTTTTTTTTTTTTTTTTTTTTAAATCCCATTCTCTTTGATACTTCCATTTGTGCTGTACCTATTGATCGTAAATATAACATAACCACCTTACTGTCCTAACCTCCAATTGCACGGATCTGAGTTAACGATAAACCTGCCTCCATTGCTGCTGTGGCACTACCAATTCTAATACTATGAGCTGTATATCATCCTGACAACTGCACATTATTAGCTACTCTCTTCACAATAGCTTCAATAGCTCCAACAGTCATTTTCTTTTTCCTATTTAACAAGAATAGCAGCCAATTTTTCTGGGTTTTTGGTCTGATTAATAAATATCTCTTAAGCAACCTAACTGGGCAACAAAGGCTATTTGAAATTTCAATAAGAATAAATTTTCCATTAGAAAACTGATTGGTCTTTGAATTACAAATCCGTATCCAACATAAATTTCCATTAAATTTAACATCCTCCAACTTCAAATTACATAATTCCACTGGCCTACACATTGTCCTTAATCCTATTGCAATCAAAGCTGTATTTCGTATCCATATATTCATGTCTGCAAATCATGGTTTATTAATAACAAACCTTCTCAACGCAAAAATCGGTAGCAGATCATGTGGCCATTCTGGCTTTCTATCCTTTCTTGATTCCTTCATCAATGCTTTATAAACCCTCCTAACATTATATAACTTTGATGGGTCGGGTAATGATCTTTCTAGATGTTCTCTTGATACAGCTGCAAGTATATCTGAACAAACTGATACAGCATCCATTAAATCTAACCAAATCAAATATGGCAAGAGGGAATCCTCTGACAACGAAATAGCACATTGACCTGTAACTCCACAATATTCTAAATAAGTTTTCCATGCTTTATCCAACCTTTTATTCCAATTTTCTGAATATGATTTCCTTACTAAATTTTTTGCTTTATCCAACAAGGCTTTGACTAATTTACTCTTACTGCTATAAACTGCCATTTCTTGTTCCTCTACGGCTCTACTTCCCTTGATAATCCCATTTCGAATGCTATCCAAGGTGGTGAAATTTTTACATAGTCGGTTTGATACAGCAAAAGTATTGGCCACCACTCCGCCGATACCCATATTGATACAATTATTGTCACCGATGCTTTTCTTTCTATTACATGCTGGAGTACACGATGAATTAAACCCAAGGGGGCAAACATAATTGTTCTCGCCATCCCAACTTTGTATAAAACAATTTACCGCCTCGGTTCCTGGACAATAGAAATGGCTGTTGAATCTTGTGTGCTTCGTGTTTTGGTGATCTGCCATTTGGTCTATAGTATGGGACCCCACCTTTCTTCCAATTCCAAAAACACCTTCTGTGCCAATTTCCAATCTGATAGATCTAATACTCGGGTTAACTTGTCAGCCGGGTTTACTTTCGATGGGACCCAAAAGGTCTCGTTTAGCCAAATATCATACTCGTCCAGCAGACTCCAAAATTCTCTCAACAAGGCCTTTTGCATGGTAACTTTTCTCCTTTTACTACTGTAGCTAGAGCTATACGATTGTCTATGTGTATGTCTATCCACGAATGGCTCAGAAGCTTTGCGAAAGATCTTACACCTAAAATTACTGCACTTGCCTCGAGTTTTGCTATTTCTCTGTATGAATGCCACCTTTTCTAATTTCCAAATGTCTGATTCTTTCTGAATATTGCTGCCTAGCCTATCGTCGAAGCATTGATATAGAGTACTTTTGTTTTTGACGGTTTCCAAGCCGGTTTCTCATTTTTTGTCACCAGATTTTGAGCTAACCATTCTGCATCCTCCCGAGCTTGATTTGTTAATTTTATATATATCCCAGTCCCACCATTTTCTGTATATTGCATCTATCAATGAATAGAATTCCAGGCAACGCACTCTCGTATGAGCAAAGGCTTTGCTCAATGATTGTACCTTTCCGGCCACTACAGCCAACTGACGAACAGAAATTGTTTCCATCCTGGCACATTCCAAAAGCAGCTTCTGTGTCTCCAAAATTTTCTCTTGGGGTACGATAACTAATGCCTTGCGTGTGTCTATAATTAGGCTATAAAATCTTAGTTGCTGAGTTGGCTCCCATTGACCCTTGCATTGTGCTCTTACAAAGCCACAATTTATCAGGTCCACTTCTATTACT